TTGAACCCATGACCTGTGAGATCATGACCTGAGCCAAAGTTGGATGCTTAACTGACTTAGCCACCCAGATACCCCATGGTGGTATTTTTGATAATTTCTAAAACAAATATTTTGAGGGAAACACTTAACAGGATTTCTTCAACAAACATTGTTAGATTAAAATTGATATCTTAGGGGTGCATGGGTGGCTCAGTCGGTTGGGTGGCTGACTTCAGCTCAGGTCATGATCTCACGGTCTGTGAGTTCAAGCCCCATGTCGGGCTCTGTGCTGATAGCTCAGAGCCTGGAGCCTGCTTTGGATTCTGTGTCTCCCTCTCTCTCTGCTCCTCCCCTGCTTGTGCTCTATCTCTCTCTGTCTCTCAAAAATAAATAAATGTTAAAAATTTTTTTAAATTTTGATATCTTAGTCTTGTTAAAAAAAACCACTTCACTAAAAATGAATTGATGAAAGTCTGAATATATTAAATCCAATAGTGTAAATATAATCTTTACCTTAAGGTAATTTAACTTTTGGTGGTTTACATTAATTTTATATAAGTAGGGGAGTTGCACTTTATTGCAAACACATTCTTCACTCACTATAACTGAAAGAATCCTGGAATCATAGACTAGGCAATCTGGGCAACTAACATAGCTGGATGCATGCAGTCAGGTTTTTGAAGGAAGAGAGGATAGGTTTAGAAGACGCAAGGAGAAATATTCCCCTTTTACAGGAAACGTGGAAGAGAAGCAGCAATCTCCAGATAAGAGGGCTTCCAGGGATAGCCATATTTCAATTAGGGAACAGAAGGGGAGCCTTTCAGGGAGAAGGCTGAGGCATAGGAGAATTTCCACTCAGTGTAAATTATTCATTAGCATTCTTATCAGTGCCATCATCATCATTATTAGATTTTGTGATTAGCTATAGTGTGATACTATTTTTACTTCTGGACACTTGAGTAAACTTTATACTGTGGTATTAGTATGTAAGTTATTACTGATTAAATATATTTTATTTTCTGTATAAGTTTGGCCATCAGGCCTGTGATACTGAACATCAAAATATTCATTATCCTATCATACATATCAGAAAAGCATGTTTTAATCTCATTTTTGGATTAACTACTGTATGCCAGCCTCTTACCTATTGCTGGAAAATACAAAGACAGGTAAGATATGATACCTCTTTTCAAAGAGTAGAATATATCTCGTGTGTGCACGTGTGCTTCCATGCACACTGTTAGCAGTGGTCACATCTCAGACAATGAAGGAAATGAAAGGGGTGAGATAGTAAGGGGAACTTTACATTTTTTGCCTGTGTTTTTTGACTCTATTGTTTAAGAAAGTCCTATAGTGGGGCGCCTGGGTGGCGCAGTCGGTTAAGCGTCCGACTTCAGCCAGGTCACGATCTCGCGCTCCGTGGGTTCGAGCCCCGCGTCGGGCTCTGGGCTGATGGCTCAGAGCCTGGAGCCTGTTTCTGATTCTGTGTCTCCCTCTCTCTCTGCCCCTCGCCCGTTCATGCTCTGTCTCTCTCTGTCCCAAAAATAAATAAACGTTGAAAAAAAAAATTTTAAAAAAAAGAAAGTCCTATAGTTTGTTAATAAAAATATTAAGAAAGAATTTATGGAAGTTATAGTTTTTCTTTGTAATAATTAAGAGGAAGAATTGTATTTTCTAAGCCTTTGTTTCTTTCAGGCAGGGATACCAATGGGGCCAATGCCAGCAGCAGGAATGCCTTACCTTGGACAAACACCGTTCCTGGGAATGCGTCCCCCGGGCCCACAGTACACCCCAGACATGCAGAAGCAGTTCGCTGAAGAGCAGCAGTAAGAGACCTCGGGATTCAAACCTGAGGACACATGATAGCAGTTATTTTAGGAACAGTCACGTGGTTTCTAATGCACATTTGAAGCCCAAACAGTCATGTTACCTTTAAGATTCGTGAAATACTTCATTATATATAAGTTTTAAGCAAGGACAGACGTTAGAGAGCCTCTCATTCAACTCTCTAATTTTACATCTAGAGAAAGGGCAGTTCGGAGAAATGAAGCAACTTTGTCAGGCCAGATTACACAATTACTAGCAAATGTAGACTTCCTGATGTCCAAAGCATTCTTCTTTCTCCTGTGAGACACTGCCTTCCCAAGTTGGAGTTTTCTTTTTTGTCTACTTGCCTGTTTTTTGAATTACTTTTGAATGCAAAAGATTTGTCTCTTCCCCTTCCAAATTAGACAAGGAATAAATTCATGTCTATAATTTAAGCATATATTTTTTTGGACACCTTTCATATATTTTGAAATTAACATATTGGGGAAATAGTATTGTCATAAGGAAATTAGATCTAATTAGCAATGAAGTTGTTAGTTCTAGAAATGTAAGGCAATACTGCTGAAACTGTTAGAAGTATGAATAGAACACAATTGATAATGCCCCTGCAGTTAGTTCTTTACTATGTTGCTTTTCCTTCAGAAAACGATTTGAACAGCAACAGAAGCTCTTAGAGGAAGAAAGAAAAAGACGCCAGTTTGAAGAGCAGAAGCAAAAGCTCAGGCTTTTGAGTAGTGTGAAACCCAAGGTAATCTTTTCCACTGCCACAGCGCACACACGCCTTGCATGTGCCTCATGCTCATTCAGTGGATTCTTTCACTGGGGCACAAGCCCAAGCTTATGCTGTGGTTGGTTGATTTTGCTTTATCTGATTCCACAAGTGAAGAATTCTCCTTTTCTTCTAAGACGCTGTATGGTTGAGGAGGGTGGGCTATCAACCATCATCTTCTCAACTCCTTTTTACTACCACTGGTGTTTGTGATCTTTTCTTGGGAAGGTTAATCATGGATCTTGATATTAATTAATTCAGGATACTTAATATCAGTTGTATCCTGAAGTATTTATAAATGGACCTTTTAATATTTTTTGTATTTTATAGTGTTGTTTTATGCCTTTGGTATACTTATAACACGTACCAGTGTTTTTCTGATTCAGAGAATTCCCTATCAGAAGTATGCGGTAAAAATTTTGAAAATAGACCAATCTCTGTACTTTTAATTTGGGAGGATCTAGGATGAAGTGAGACATACGTGAAGATATATCCATACATTTATTGTCTTCTAGACAGGAGAGAAGAGTAGAGATGATGCTTTGGAAGCCATAAAAGGAAACTTAGATGGGTTTTCCAGAGATGCTAAAATGCATCCTACTCCAGCATCGCACCCTAAGAAACCAGGTAATTTTAATTTAAAATTTTCTTTCGGAGGGGCGCCTGGGTGGCTCAATCTGTTGAGCGTCCGATTTCGGCTCAGGTCATGATCTGTGCTGACAGCTCAGAGCCGGGAGCCTGCTTCGGATTCTGTCTCCCTCTCTCTGCCCCTCTCCGGCTCGTGCTCCATTTCTGTCTGTCTTTCAAAAATGAATAAACGTTAAAAAAAAATTTTTTTTTATTTTATTTTGGAGGCTCTTGGGTGGCCCAGTCAGTTAACCATCTGGCTCTTGGTTTCAGCTCAGGTCATGATCTCAAGGTTCGTGAGTTTGAGTCCCACATCAGGCTTTGCGCTGGCACTGCAGAGCCTGCTTGGGATTCGCTCTCTCCACCCCTCCCGCTCATGCACACATGTGTTCTCTTTCTCTCTCAAAATAAATAAAACTTAAAAAAAACTTTTTTCTTTCATTGGAAGGTGATTTTCTGTGTGTTTAATTGACCAGTATGTGTGGGTATTATGTCAGTGCTCATCTAATCCTTCAAGCTAAGTGAAGATTTGGATGTTTAAAATTTACAGGGGGTTAAGAATAACATATCATTAATAGGTGAAGAGTTGTCAAATCATTCAGCCAACCAAGTACTTTTTTCTACTGGTATATATTACATTAATAAATTTTATCCTAAACCCTTATATTGTAGTACCTTTTATAGATGGGATCAGGAGGGAATAATCTAATATTGGCACAGTAACCAGTTCTTGACTTTCTGGGACAGCTTTAACTCTGTCCTATTAATTTCACTTGTTAGATTATATACTCGGATGCAAAGTAAAATATACAGCAAGATTGAAAAGAGAATGGATATTAGGAATCAGATTGAGTTCAGAGAGGAAAAACATAAGTAAAAATGAAAATTTTAAGCTGAATAAGCTAGTCAAGAAGTAATTTAAAAATAGATTTTGGAATGCTGAAACTGAACCCTGCGTGGAACTTAGAAGAAGGAGAAGACAGGAGTGGTCATTGTTAGGGCATGTTCTGACCATAGAGAATGACCTTTTTGGACAACTAGGTGTAGTTTAACAATCTCATTGTTAAATAATAAATTGGTGTTTTGATATTTAAATAGACTCATGAGTTCAGTCAACATACATGCAGTTAGTTGCTTCTTATCCAAAAAAATAGTTTTCTGAAGCAAACCCAAGAAGTTTCCAGAGTTTCTCCAGTTAGAGACTTAACCTAGGCCTAAAGTATATAAAAAGAGTTTCCAGCCTTTTACCCACCAAAGTCATCTTTTAATCTCCCCCCGTATCATAAAATATTGACTATACAAATTATCACATAATTTTGTACTTATCACATATATAACTGTGAGAGTTTATAAGCCAAAATATGTACCACGTAGGATTAACATAATTCCAGTCAAATGCAAAGAAACATTTATTTAGCCTTTGTAGCCTTATTGCTTATTAAGTAGGATCCATTTAAAAAATACTCATAGTAGGGCCACCTGGGTGGCTCAGTTGGTTGAGCGTCCGACTTCAGCTCAGGTCATGATCTCACAGTTTGTGAGTTCGAGCCCTGTGTTGGGCTCTGTGCTGACAGCTGAGATCCTGGAGCCTACTTCAGATTCTGTGTCTTCCTCTCTCTCTGACCCTCCCCTGCTTGTACTCTGTCTCTCTGTCCCTCAAAATAAATAAACATAATTTTTTTTTTTA